CCTGACCTCGTGATTCTCCCGCCTCGGCCTCGCAAAGTACCAGGATTTCAGGACCGGCCAAACTATTTTTATATAATGCCTATTATCCTTCCTTGTGATGTCCAGAATGGTATTGTTCATTTCAATCCTGACAGGCCGTTTAGCTAAGATATATAAAGGTTATGACAATCATTATCTTGAGACAGATGTATTACTAAGTAGAACTGTATCAAAGTGTTATTTTCTCAAAATAAAACAAAGCAAAAAATTCATGGGGAATCATTAGAGGCAGTAAGAAGAAGAAGGAGGAGAAGGAGAGACGTTTAAAATCAACATGATGTATAATCATAGATTTTTGGTTGACCATGTATGTCTTATCATAAGATTTACTTTTTTTGTTTGTTTGCCACAGTTCATCCTTCTTGACTGAAGTTCTTTCTTTCTCAAGTACACAATTCAGCACTTTCTTGAGAGTCTTTTGGTGCTAAGTTCTCTGTTATATGTTCATCTAAAGATTTCATTATTTTACCCTCATTCCCGAAGGATATTTTTCTAGCTACATAATTCTACTTTCCAGTTATTACATTCTTTTAGTCTTTTGAAGTCATTTTCCATAATCTTCTAAAATCTATTTTTGCTTTTAATCAGTGTGTAGTGGGCCAAATTACCATGAATTTTTAGGTAATTATGCGTTCTCTGTGATCATTATTAAATCTTGATCCTTTTTTGGGTATATATAGTTTCACGTGGATAAATCTTACAGGCGTTAGAGTAAGTGGTACAACACAGACAGAAGTCTACATACTGTGTGGGAGTTTGTTCATGTAAAACTAGAGAAGGAAAAACCGAAATGGGGGTAGTGTTCTGTCACTTGTGTTGTTAACGCTCTCTGGGTAACTTGTATATGCAGCTAAAATTGAGCAAATTAAGGCACAGAGAAGTTATTAATAGTTGACCGCTAGAAAAATATTTTAGTCAAGTTCTTCACCCCTCAAGCTAAAAATTATGCAGAGAATAAATATTATTAAACAGGTCCACAGCTCTTTACTGTACATTCTGTATGCATAATCAGTTAACCCTTACAATATTTTTGGGGTTAATTATCATAGAAATCCAGATAATAGGCCGGGAGCGGTGGCTCACACCTGTAATCCCAGCACTTTGGGAGGCTAAGGCCGACAGATCACGAGGTCAGGAGGTCGAGACCACAGTGAAATCCCGTCTCTACTAAAAATACAAAACATTAGCCTGGCGCGGTGGCGCGAGCCTGTAGTCCCAGCAACTCGGAAGGCTGAGCCAGGAGAATGGCCTGAACCCAGGAGGCGGAGCTTGCAGTGAGCCGAGATCGCGCCACTGCACTCCAGCCTGGGCGACAGAACGAGACTCCATCTCAAAAAAAAAAAAAAAGAAAGAAAAGAAAAGAAATCCAGCTAATAAATAGCTCAGCACACTCATATTTGGTGGGTCACTGAATAGAGAACCTGGGATTTGAAGTCTATCTCTAAATAAATAACTTTTCTGTAATCTCACAACTATTTTATATACAACTGAATGTCATTGAATGGGGCTTTCAGGACCACAGCTTCTCACAGACTCAAGTGTCAAATTTGTGACTACAGCTCATACCATTCTCCATGACCACCTTCACTTTAGTTAGATTCATTTAGTCAGTGTTTAATTACTAACCAGAAGTCGCTGGAAATACAATTATACTTAGGACAACGTTTGTAATCACTTGCAGTGTCTCAGTGTTGGACACATAAAATGTAACCTCTCAATTTCTGAAGAGATTGAGATAAAATAAAATAATGAAGGATGAATTCCAGATATAATATTTCTTAGTGATTAAAATTATTGTAAAGGACTTTGTTTGGCTTGAGAGCCAGTGAACACTGTAACTAACCCCCAGAGTTAGGCATATATTTCTCATGAGAATGGGAAGACTTACCACATGGCAGAGTGTGAGGAAACACATATAACTTCTTTAGAAAGCCTTATACCAAAAGAGTGTGTGTGTTTGAGGGGAGGGGTGCTTAATTAAATTTACTCAGTTTGTGCTTGCCAAATTTGAAAATCTACTACCTTTCTCATTATTCTTATCATTCTTCCTAGCACATAGTGAATCAGCATATATAGAAAGGATGAGATTTATAACTTGAACATGAAGAGTGGGGAGAAACATTTTGCTCCAGTAGTTTGATAAAGTTGATTCAGATACATAAATATTTCAGTATAACACATAACATTTATACAGTGCTGACATTCCGCTAGCCCATTTTGAATTTTTAGATCCCTTAACCTCAGTAATTCCTCCTACAAACTGACAAGATTTCTAATATTGATATGCTTATTTTACAAATAAGAAAACAGAGACTCACCGAAATTAGTTGATTTTTCCAGTCACAGAGATGGTAAAGTTGGAGCCAGGATTTCAACCTAAGGGGTGTGACACTAGATTTACACTCTTACCCACTATACTGTATAGAAATAGTAATAGTTCCTGAATACAAGACATCAGGAATATCAGGTAAGTAAAAACAAAGTTTGCTGTGGTTTAGGCCAAGTCAGAGGTGTGTGTGTGTGTGTATGTGTGTGTAGAGGTATAGAGGTAGTGCCGTTCAGCATTGGGTTGGCCAATTCTGCATGCAACTACCTCTCCTTCTAAAGGTGATCCTAGTATTTCCTTTTTGCGATCAACTGATTATTATTAATCAACTTTCAACTTTCTGGAGTGATAGTTCTCAAATTTAGAATGCTTGAAGTCTCTTAAAAAGAGAGATTGCTTGAGTCTACTCTAAGGCAATCAGATTCAAAAGTTCTGTGGTGATTTCCATAACATCTGCTTTTCAACAATCATCATAATATTTATGATTCAGTGGTTCACAGCCCATCCTTGGAAAAATAGTTATAGGGAGTTACCAATGGATATAGATGCCCTTCCACTTAAATGCTACAGCATGCTTTAAAATTCTACAAGGGCTTCTTGTTTTTATTTAGCATGTATACATTGGAAGACCATTGCTCTCAAAACCTTATGGCCAAAAAGAAGTGTATAATAAAAAAAGAAAAAAACTCGCAATTTTCTTGGACTGATCAAATAGTTAAAATCACAGAACAACCAACTAATTCTAACCTAAAGAAAGATAGGCAACTTCAAGAAAGGATGGAACATGACCCCTAGCTTATTAGGGGCAGATGTCAGATTCTACACAAGCCAGATTCCTCAAAGTGAAGTGTAGACTTCCGTGATAATATGAAACGAGGGAATTCATTCCCACTCATGTTGTCCTCCCTAGGCTTCTACCAAGTAATAGTGAGAAAGACTGGAGGCAGGACTGCCTGAAAAATGCTTCCTCATGGAACAGACCTGGTAAAGGAGAATAGCAACCACAGAAGGATGGGAATCACACTTCACCCAGTTCCTTCTTTCTCCTCTTCCCTGAGGAGCGAATGCCTTCAACCACCAGGGGAACAGAACATGTGAAGACCATTGCCGCTTATAGGAGCAGAAATAAATTCTATAACCACAGCATGAATCAGGATCAGCTGGAATCTCCTGCAGCTTGGGGAGGGGCAGAATCACTCACCTAGAACTTTTCACCTCCAAGACCCAGGAACATGGTGCCAGCCTAAGATTAAGGCTGAACCAATACAACAGAATAAATGAATAGGTAAATGATGAGTTCAATCTCACAGTTGGGGTGCAGGAAAAGTCTATAATTACATAATTATAATGTGTAATTATAATGCCTATAAATACACAGTGTAACTGATTATTTTTTTCATAGATTTTCTAGTCCAGGGTGTAATGTTAATTAATACATATCTCCCCTAAGAATATTTGACATTATATTTTCCATCATAATAACATTAAGTAGGTTTTTTTTTTTCTAAAGTGCACCCTACAGAATATGTGTCATGGGATGGCCTAAGAAGGGCACTCTGACATCAATCTTGATTTAAAGTTTCAAATGAGTATCTGAAGATTAAAAACTCTGAGAGGTCCTGCAATAAATATATTGCTAGAATGTTAGAATTTTCCAAATTTCATAAGCACATTTTCCCTTGAATCTTTTATCCATAATGTCAATAATGTCACATGTACCTGGATAGCACTGAATTATATCACATGGAACTAAACTTTCATTAAAAACAAAAAACAAAAAACAATAACAACAACAAAAAACACTTAGGTAGTGATAGACCTAGAACATACTTGAACTTTTGACATTCCATAAAAGTGAAACTTCTCTAAGGGATGGCAAAAAAAAGACACATAAACAATATTGTTTGGAAAAGAACAGTTTGTTTTCAAAGAACCATCAGTAAGTTAGATTTTATAAAAACTTGCCCACCAAGTAAAAAAATACAGCATGTCTTCTTTTTTTTTCCCCCAAATAAAAAAGACTGCAAATTTACTAAGATTTCAAAATTTCTGCTATTCTCTTTATGGTAGAAGACCTCCATGGCTATCATGTTAACAGTATCAATTTTATACCTTCCAACATTATTATGGCAAAGTCAAAAATAACATTATTTTTAATAGTCCAGGTATATGGAAAATCTCCCAATGTTTCTTGTATAGAACCAGCACTAATCGAGAAGACTCGATATTTTTGTTTAAACTCAGCATATAAATGGCTTTATAGTGTTTTGTTTGTTTGCTTGTTTCTGGTATTTCGTTCAAGTTTGCTTTAAACTGACAATGATTATGCTATGCTCAGTCATAAAGGATGCGGGACAAAGTGTTCATATTCTTCCATATTAGGAATCTGAATCATTTGCAAACAATGGATATCAGAAAACATTTTTATTTATCCATTTGACATGAGCTTAACTTTCCATTTGTGGGTAGCACCTGCCAAACGATTTCCATTTTCAGTCCTTCCCTAAGATGGTCTTAAATACTTTCCAAATATTCTGTTTTTATTTTGAACATAGAAAATTAGTGCCACTTTCATTGTAAATACGATTATTTATGATATTGATAAATAATCTGATATTTATAAATGAGCTATGTTTTATTTATTGGAAAACATTTTCAGCACTTGTGCTCTAATCTGTTTTGTTCTGACACCATAAATTACAGGGTTGAGAGCAGGTGGAATGACTACATAGAAATTAGCCAGAAGGATGTGGATAAAGCAAGGTATATTCTCACCAAACCTATGGGTCATGAATGAGAAAAATGCAGGGGTATAGAAAGTCAACATGACATACACATGAGAACCACAGGTGCTGAGTGCCTTGAGTCGTGCATCATGTGAAGAAAGTCAAAATACAGCATGAAGGATCTGTACATAGGAAATGACAATTGCTATGATGTCAAAGACCAGGATAAAGATGGTACATAAGCCATAGATGATGTTGACCCTGATGCTGGCACAAGACAAGCGGGCAATGCCCATGTGCTCACAGTAAGTGTGAGGAATAATTTGGTGTCCACAAAATGGAAGCCTTAGGATGAGTAGAGCAAAGGGTAAGGCAAAGGCTAACGGTCTCAGAAGGATGGCCAATGCCATAACTGACACCACCTTGTTTGTCAGCACCAACGTGTAGCGAAGAGGGTCACAGATGGCCACATAGCGATCATAGGCCATGGCCACAAGCACAGCTGATTCCATGCCAGTGCACAGGTGGATGAAGAACATCTGGGTAAGGCATCCTTCAAAGGAGATTTCTCTCAGGGTAAACCAGAAGATGCCAAGCATTTTAGGGATAGTGGATGTAGACAGACCCAGATCAATAGACGACAGAATGGCCAGGAAGTAGAACATGGGCTGATGGAGACTACTCTCAGTCTGAATCATAAAAAGCATGGTGATATTCCCAAGGACAGCTGTCAGGAACACAACAAAGAAAGGAAATCCAATCCAGAGATGCATACTTTCCAGCCCAAGAATTCCCAGAAGAAGGAAAGAGTAGGGATGAAATAGAGTGGTATTCATTGAGGCTGTCCTTCTGGGAACTGTTTATACTAAAATATATCATAGACTGAATGTCTGTCATTCATTGAGTTTGTCTTATCCTTGCTTAGTGCACAGAGAAAACAAATAAATCAGTGAAACTAATATCTATGATATTTCTGCATCATAGAGGCTTCAAAGTATGTACAATTTAATGGTAATATGTGGCCCAAAGATTTCAGTGTACTTCATTAGATCCATTCAAGTAAATTCAATATTTTAGTTCAACGAACAGTAATTATCTACCACATATGTACCAGATTATATGCTGAGACTGACCGCAAAAGATGAACTAAAGAACGTTTATTTTCTGATGCAACATAGTGGTTTAAATTTAGTGTTAGTAATTGTAACAGTTACGCAAATCAGCAATGTAAACTTATAAAATATTGGTGAGATAAAATTGTTCCCTTACTACTTTAGAAGCACAAAAGATTCCCCTGAAAACATTTTAACCTTATTTCATGGAAAAACTGTGTAATTCACAAATATACAGGTTATGGACAAATAAGTAGATACATGATTTAAATATGACCAGACCCATTATAGTTCACATTTATGAGTCGAGTATAGGTAATCTACTCTTCGAAGAAACCACAAATGTATCGAACTGGAACAGTCTAAGATAATTTTGGATGTGTGCAGGTGTTTTATTGTTTAAGTCTGCAAGTCTTTCTCATTCCACAGTCAGCTTCCAAGCTCTCCTTTCTTGCAGATGCAAATATTATAGGAACCCTGCCTTGAGGTTTTATTATTGAAACCTCGTACTCTGGATAACCCTCTCAGGATAATCTTCTTACTCTGGATCTACTTACGGTGGAATGAACATATCCCTCTTCATTTCAGATCTGGTGATTGTAAAGGTAAACTGAGGCTGGAGCCAAATCGGGAACGAAGACACAAGGCAAATGGCAGTGAGAATAGCTTTTATTAGGGCTTGCGGGCGAGGTTCCTCGGTCCAAAGGCGTGGGCCGAGGAAGTTGCGCTGAGGGAGGAGGGTGGGGGCTTTTTATAGCCAGAGAGGTAGTGAAGCTGGTTGTGCAAACAGGGCCTGGGGGGTCTTGAAACTACTAGGGCAGGAGTTGAGTAAGGGTCATGAGGAAGGGGTCTTTGGAAACTGTCAACCGAAACTGCTGTTTACGAACTTGTGGAATGCAGGTGAGCTGCAGGTCATGGGGGAGTGTGGTTGCCCAGCCGGAACTCTGACGCATGTAAGTCTGCCTGTGTGGACAAAGGTAAAGGGAGTCTTTAACAAAAGGCCTGCTACCCCGGGTAACGCCATCATGTTGGGTCTAGATTCCTGCCTAACAGTGATTAACCTTGCTATTTCTAATTGTCTTTCTGCTGACAACTGTCAAGAAAGAAACAGATTTACAAACATGCACACATACAAACATTAATGTTCAAGTTTATGAAACATCACAAAGTTGTCAGGCAAAGTGAGTTAATTTGTACACACCACTTCTTGATAGTGAGTCTAGTATTTGTTTTGCTATATTAAGTATTGCTATGATGTATCTCATCTTTATAAAACTGTGATCAAGCACACTGTGATCAAGAACTCTTTCTCTTTCACACACTAGTATGTGTGTGCGTGCGCGTGTGCATGTGCACGTGTGTGTCTTGGAAGGGTGCACTGCAGCTTGGGTCTTGGACAAATTTCTTAAGAAATCTTAGAAGGTAGAAATTGATCCAGGTATAGGAAGAAGAAAAGGAAATTGAGTTAAGATAATTATTCCAAAACAAGCAAATTGGGAAACAGAAGAGGAATAACTCAGAAAAAAATAACTATTTAGAAAACTATCCTAATTTCATCAGGGGTGACTATATGCAAGATGTGGTGTTGTAATTGAGGAGACTGGTGAAAGAGATGTGACAAAATCCTATGTTCAGATTTCTTCTTTGTGAGTTTGGTTTAGCTAACTTAACAGGGCCTAGTATATGAAAATGGAATAATGTTTAGAAACCAACACTAGGAATTGAGTTCATGTTTTGTTTCTCATTGCCATGTAATATTGAATAAATTATTTTTCTTCTCTAAGTCTGAGATTCCTTACCTATTAAATGAAAGTAAAATTCCTGCATCGCAAGAGCTTTACAAGCTATTTCTGACTCGAGATGGCTCATCAAAAAATTGTATTACAGTTATTGCTTATCCTATTGATAATGACAACGTAAAAAGCTGTAGTGAATTTGCTTATACAGCTTGTCAGGTTATCCTTTACATAATTTAGCAGACATTCAATCCTGATACTCACTTTATCTGCATATAAATATTTTGGTAGCATTTTTAATCCAGTGCAAATTATTATTCTTATCATTTGACATTTACACAAAAATTGCACCACACATTTGGAAATTGCACCACTGAAAAATGATTGGGACTACCTTTTGTCAGAGAAAGATAGCATGTAATTTGGTTGTGTTATACTGGAGAGGGATAATTTCTGAATGGTTTAAGGTAACTTCATTTATGGTTTTTTTCTCCATGTCAAACCTGGGCCTGTGCTGGGGACATTTATCTAATCTTTAGATTAAGTTAGAAGGACTAAAGGAGAGAGAACAGTGAGAAATACACAGAAAACATGAAGAGAAGGAACTTTGATAGATCACTACATGGCTGTGAAGAGCTCAAGTGCATAGAATGGCAAAAGTATCAAAAGATGTAAGAGCTTCACACAGAGATTGTGTAAGATGTATAAGAAAGAATTGAAGGTAGTAGTTGCTCAAGTGTATATGAAATTATGCCAACACATTCTTACAGTAAGCTGCCTTATCCACTTCCCTCAATAAGAAGGTTTTCTTTTCTTTCCCCTATTTTATCACCTTCTGCTCTTTTCATTGTTCTCAGCCAGAGATCAGAATCCATACTTCCAAAATGTTACTTACCAGCAGAGACACCTGCAGAAGTAAGCAAATCTCCCTTCACATTAGTCTGAATTCCATTTGCTTAGGCGGGTGGTGTTTTGTACTGTGGTCACAACATCCAGAGTGAGATCTTTGCAACACCCTATATTGGAACACCCTAGAGACAATGGGACCTGCAGAGCTCTGAGCTTAGTATTAACCCTTTCCTGTGAAATTGAATGTTACTGGACATAGACAACCCATGTTCTGATTCTGAGACCAGATTCTGAAATATAGGATTATCTTATTTCCAAGGGTAAAATTAATATTTTTAAAATATATATTATTATTATTTTAAATCTTATAAACTCCTTAAATATTTTTAACAGTATTCCCGGTATCAGTTCTGCATTCTTTGTCCTGAACACCTCAAGGAGGGTGGGACTAGTCCATACACCATAATAAGTAGGCTAATGACCAAATTAAATCTATATATATCTTGTTACTATTGTGCAACTACCTCTTGACTCCATACTTAGTATAATAGTGACATTACAAAGTAAATAATCATATCATAATGACTCAATATTTAGCATAACTACACTGTCTTAAAGTGAAGAGATGCATTCAATTTTGTAGACACTGAGAACTATCATGTCATTCCTCTGCAGGTTTCCCATGAGTAATGGAAAGCAGAGATGAAAATCCAGAGGTCAGAGACTAGTTATTTTGTTACTACTGATTGGTTATCTAAAATCACGTACAGTTTGCTTTATCCAATTAATCTCAATTTTGAAATCTGTAAAATGAGGAAATTTGTTAATCAGCTTTTGTCTCCTTTGTTCCTAAAATCATATGAGTTTTTAATCCCATGTCACTGATGTGGAGACAGCAATAGAGAGGGAACGAGCTTGTGCAATGCTGCAGAGCTGAGTTTTCCAGGCTTCCATTTTAGAAGGTTTGTACATGAGTGATAGGGACTGATCTTGGTCACTGAAAAGGATGTCAGCTTCATAGTCCATTCACTGATGATTCAATAAATACACATTAATTATCTACTATTATCAGGCATTGTTTTAGGTGCTGTTCATATACTAACAAACAGAACTGATAAAATACCCTTTTCTACAGTAAGAGAAACAAGACAAGTGACCGAAGAAATAAAATAAGTCTTTCAACTTTATGTTGAAACGTAAAGTACAAAGTGGGAGTGGGTATGGTTATAGTAAGTGCTGGTAATTCTAAAGGAACATTGTCAGGGGAACTGACACTAAGAATATGACATTTAAGTAAAAGTTTCAGGGAGGTAAGAGAGCAAGCCATGTAGAATCTGGGAGAGGGTCAGGTGAAGTGTTCCAGGCAGAGAGAACAGCAAATGCAAAGAAACTGAGGCTAAGGCACGAATGGTGTGGTCAAGAAAAAGCACAAGTGTTATAGCATCAAAATCTCTGAGATATAACCATATTGGAAATCCTTAGAAGTCCATAAACACATATTTCATTGTCATCATTCAATAGGTACACATGAAAGGAGATCCTTTTATAGTGGCTAGCACTCAGGGCAGCCCATGGATAGTAGTTCAGTCAAGGAGCCGTATTTAAGTCAATTACTTGTTGTCTTGTTTGGTTACCTTTATTTTCTTAGTATAGCAAAAAAAGAAATGGTAACAACAACCACAAAAAACACATTGCCATACTATTAATAGTTATATTTTTAAGCACTGGTTGATAATGCATAGGTATATTTGCATGACTTCTCATCCCTTCTTCTATTAAGCTATAGTAATTACTACTGGGTATTTAAGGATCACAAATGTATAAAGAAAACAGAAAATGAGTGTTTTATTTTGTTTAAGTAGTCAAAATGGGTGAAGAGGAAACAACAACATACGCAAATTAAAAAAAAAAACGGGTGGATTGTTCCTTTTATGGCAGTTCATTATTTGCATACATTTAAAAATCTATATCACACAGTAAGGTTTACTTGCAAGTAGTTGCAAATATTGCTTTAGTTTTCTCCTAAATCGAGCGTCATTGTGGAGATTCTAATTCTGATAATTATTATCACCATGTGGGTGACATCCTTTACTACCCTGTAAATCTGAAGGGTTACATGTTTGTTTAATTTTGGAAATTGTTAGTCATTTCTTCAAATATTTTCCCTCTTTATCAATAATTTTTCTGCAATTCATGATATATGCTTTCGAAAACATTTTTCC